TTGATTATCTCTTTGAGCTATTAATAGCTAGTAAATAATAGAGATTAACAACTCCAGTGAAATCAGGAACTGCTTACAAAGCATACTGTTAAATACATGTATAAAGGACTAGGGCCTTAAATAAATACTTATGGAATATATAGATTTATTATTTTGTGTCTTGTGAATTATGTCGATGTTGATGTTCTTTCCTTAAAAATATTTTGATCCTTTTAAATAAAGAAGTTTTAACAACATTTTTATTAAAATAACATTCACTGTCTGACAAACATAGAAAAACAAGGAAATTAAAAGCTGAGGTGGAAATTCTGTCCTTATCTTACCCCTTTACACATAAGCAAAGCAGTACCCTTAGGACATATATGTACCAAAATACCTACATACAGTGGGGTGAGGTAAAGGACAGATTTTCAGCCCACTGTTCTTTGATTTGTTTGGTCAGACATTTCTTTAGTGCTCCAGGATATATTTTTTGCTAGAGAGCCATTGTGGAAGAAGTATGACAAGTTCTGCTCTTTTACACCTACCTCAAATAACAGAAGTAACTCAAGATTTATGCTGGTCTAGGAACAGAATTCTGCCCATTATTCTCTCCATAGTTATGGATAAATCACATATTTAACTTATAAGAGCATATGGTTATCCTATATAAAAGAATGTTTATGGAAAGTGGTGGTGGTGGGGAGGCGGGGAATCAGACCAGGGCTTTGCAAACTATGAAGTTTAAAAATAAGGTGGACAGTGTATTTTTGTTTTTACAGTTTTTGGAATATTTTTATCTCTCAAAAGTAGTTCCACCTGGAAACACTGAATGGATTATGCTCAACTGAGTGAAGTGTGGTGAATTTGACTAGTTTTGTGTTTGGAAGATGGATCAAATATGCTAAGATTTTTCTTAAAATCTTCTGTCAGTGCTAGTGGTGATGGAGATGCTAATGTAAACCAGATGCAACTGCCACTTTGTTGTCTAAGGCCTTGTCTATACTAAAGTTTTGTTGACAAAAGTCCGCTTTCATTGACAAAACAGTGGAGGTATATATACCCTGAATTGCTCCTCCTGCCTATGTTACTCCTTTGCTATACCAACATAAAAAACCAACACCTTGACAAGTGACACAGATTTTTGCAACCTAGATAGAGTGATGCATCATCAGTGTAGACTCCTCACTTGGTTATATTTCCCTAATTGGTCTCCCGCCAGGTGGTGTTCTACAATGCCCATCATGACTAACCTGGTCAGCAGTTTGACCTCTGATATATAGAGGATACACAGGTATGCCTCCCTCTTTCTGTCTCTTCCCCCCTACATGCACGCACGCATGCATATATACACACACTCTCTCCCATTTAAAGGCCTGGGACGTTTGGAAATTCCTCTTGTTTGCTTGGCATGCAGCTTCACACAGCATCTTCCCAGCTGACCATGCTTACTTTCTGCAGCAGATGCATTCTTGTGTAGTTTGAGCTGCAGAGTCAATGGGGAGAGGAGGCTGTGCAGTCATAGTTTCATATCAGTTGTAGGAATGTTGATACCTATCGCCTGATTGCTAATGACATGCAGGAGAAGGGGCACAAAAGGGATATGCAGCAATGCCATGATACAATCCAGAAGATGAGTTCAACCATCACTCTGAAATAGTCCCAAATACATGCTGTAGGAAACTTTGCCATGTCACTCAGCAAGTATTTCTGCAGGGATCAGAATGGCATACAGGCAAGTGGCATATGGAACTAGTCTGAAGATGTTCCCTTGCATGCTGAGTTACCCATAGGAGTGAGATACTGTATTGGATTCTATTACCCTAAGCACTGGAAAAAGGTACCAATATTCAGAATAATTTCCCTATTTGGTTATGAATTCCTTTTGCAAACAACCCGTTGTCCCCTCCCTCTTGCCCCTTTCCTCATAAACTCACCATAATTAGGGCTCATGATGATTGTGTATTAGCCAAGGGACAGTAAGATTGAGGCGTGTGTAATTTTTGTGATTGACAGTTGTGAGCACATTCACTATTTCTGTTCATTGTTTCTTTGCCTTCTACAGATGTGCCCTTAAGAATGCACTCCTTGGCTGGGTCTAGACTGGCCAGTTTTTCCGGAAAATCAGCTGCTTTTTCAGAAAAACTTGCCACCTGTCTACATTGGCCGCTTGAATTTCCACAAAAGCACTGACGATCTCATGTAAGATTGTCAGTGTTCTTGTGAAAATACTATGCTGTTCCCGTTCGGGCAAAAGTCCTTTTGTGCAAAACTTTTGCACAAAAGGGCCAGTGTAGACAGCTCAGATTTGTTTTCCGCAAAAAAGCCCCGATCACGAAAATGGCGATCGGGGCTTTTTTGCGGAAAAGCGCATCTAGATTGGCACAGACGCTTTTCCGCAAAAAGTGCTTTTGCAGAAAAGCGTCCATGCCAATCTAGACTCTCTGCTCTGAAAATGCTTTTAACGGAAAACTTTTCCGTTAAAAGCATTTGCGAAAAATTATGCCAGTCTAGACACAGCCCATCAGTATGGAGTGCCTCCAGCAGGTAAGGCAGCAAACCAGGAGGAGTAAGGAGGTTCAGTTTTGTAAGATGCTGCAGTCAACCAATGCAGCACAGCGTGAAAAAAGAGCATGGAGGGAGACAATGAAATGAAATTAATGGAAGACTGAGCCTGGATAACTAGGAAAGGACTAGTCACAAGTGGATGTTAAAGCTCCTCACGGACCAGACCGAGATATCAAAGTATTTCATTAGCTTTCTTTTGCAGCAACCCACGTCCAACTTCCACTCTAGCCACTACAAAACTAAAGTCCATGCTTTCCCCAAAATCCTGCAGGGCATCCATTGCATGTTCCCAGTCCTCACAGTACTCCATGCATTCCATGGCTGGGGACTGGTTTTCCAAAGAAAGTTGCATTTACACCCAGCTGTGAGAACTCTAAGTGACACTAAAAGATGTTCTTTGTCATGTCCCCTGTTTTTACCAAAAGTTGGTATTTGATCCTATTATTAAACTTAAGTCTTTGAAATAAATAAAATCTAATTTGTGAGATACATATATAGCTCAGTCCTAACATGGAGATATATTATCTAAAATTAGGACAATTTTCTCCTTGCAATTAACACTCAAGCAAGCACTGCAGGGTAATTCATGGAAGCAACTAAATATTGCCTGGTCAAATGCATCACATACAGATAAATTACTGTCAAAATGCTCCTTCAAAGTCTCCCTGATTCAAATTAGTGACGTGAAAGGTAAATATTGCCTGGTCAAATGCATCACATACAGATAAATTACTGTCAAAATGCTCTTTCAAAGTCTCCCTGGGCGCCCTACAGGTTGTTTTGGCCGGGCTGGAGTAGTCCCTGCCTGAGGATGAGGGGCAGGGGGGGGGGGGGGGCTGATGTACCCCCCTTTAAATCGGTTGAAGAATTAAATGGGATTTTACATCCCTAATTCAAATAGCCTCTGCTGTGCCCCTCTAATTGCCCTTATATCCGGCTGTTTAAAATCGTCAGCCAGTCAATCAATGTCAGTGGCCCATCCTTGGGGGAACTTTTCGGTCTTTGATTTGCAAATATTATGGAGAGTACAGCAGGCCACAAAGGCCATTGGAATATTGTTTTCATTGAGGTCCAACTGGCCAAAAAGGCAGTGTCAGAGACCTTTTAATTGGCCAAAGGCACATTCAATCATCATTCAGCACCTTTTGAGCCTGTTGTTGGAAGTGTTCCTTGCTATTGTCCTTGGATGGATAATGAAAGGGGCTGCAGCCTTCCTCTGGGCTATGGTGGCATGGAAGAAGACTCATGTAGCAGTCATGTGGCTGCTGCCTCCCCCCATCCTTCCTCAGCACTCAACACTTTGTGGATGATGCACTCAGTCAAAACAAGGAGCATGCTGTGGATGTGCTATGCTGATGTTATAAAAACATTTTAAGATCACTGACAAAGTTTGTCTTAAATCAGTAGTGTAGATATTGCCTAACATTGTGCAGAACAAGCAGAATTGCTGTGGGTCTGCTTAGCAAGTTTACACAAGGAATGACCACATTTTGCAGTTATGGACATGCAGGGGAGTTTTCGAGGCAGAGCAATAATAGTTGGGTAGTTTCAGTTGCTCCACAGATATGAAAAAAACATCCATCTACTTTTATTGAGCAGGACCTCCAGAAAGTACTAGGTCTTCCCTCTACACTTCATACATGACCAGTCTACTCAATTTGTGTGCCGATTCCCTGGGTGAGGGGTTTGGGCCCAAACCGTGTCTGTTTAACACACGTGAATAATCCCATTGAAGTCAGTTACATCAGTGGCGGTCTGTATGAGGACAGGGCCAAGGATCCACTCCTATGGAGGCAGATTCAGGAGTGTAGCCTTTGCATATTCCATGTTAATTGAAAAGCAGCACAGAATCCATGGGGTGCAATAAATAGGCCATTCCCATGCCTTGTCATAGAATGAGTTTGTGCCACTTTCTAATTTTTTAAAACAACACCCCCAGATCTAACAGGTACCACTGAAATCCTGGTGACCCCACTATGGGATCTAGTCACATTTGTTTGGCAAAAGCTTCATTAAGAAGACCTAAGCCCTGACTCTGCAATGTGAATAACTACTCAGGGAATTAGGTCCCCCCCCATGGGAGTAAATGTCTGCAGGACCAGGCCCTACATGTGGGGACCGATGTCACCTGCCAACCCGTAACAACATCCAATGACACAGCCCAACAGCCGGGCAAGAAGCAGCGACCCGCTGTCCCTTTAACTCCGAGCCCCGCAGGGCGGGGTCAGCGTGATGGGCAGCGCGAGCGACCAATGAGACGGGCTGAGAGCGGTTGGGTCCTGGCCGCGGGCGCTGAGCCGAGCGGGCGGCGGTGGGGACCGATGTCACCTGCCAACCCGTAACAACATCCAATGACACAGCCCAACAGCCGGGCAAGAAGCAGCGACCCGCTGTCCCTTTAACTCCGAGCCCCGCAGGGCGGGGTCAGCGTGATGGGCAGCGCGAGCGACCAATGAGACGGGCTGAGAGCGGTTGGGTCCTGGCCGCGGGCGCTGAGCCGAGCGGGCGGCGGTGATGGCTGACGAGATCCGCAAGGCGCAGGCCGCCCGGCCCGGCGGGGACACCATCTTCGGGAAGATCATCCGCAAGGAGATCCCGGCCAAGATCATCTTCGAGGACGAGCAGGTGGGGGGCGGCGCGAGGCTCCCGGGCTGCTCTGGGCGGCAGCTGCAGCCCCCGGGGCGCGGTGGGGCCGCGTGGCGGTGCAGGGG